GAGATGGGCGATTGAATTGTCGCATGGCGGCATTTTGGCGGGCCGTGGCGACGAATATGGCACAACCCCATAGCCCGCCATGCCGCCGAGGGTGGGCATCACCGAGGGGTCTTAGTGGGTACGAACCCCACACTACCCCCGCTCTTTCAGGTGTTCATTGCTTTTGCAGTATGTCTTCTCCTGTTTCTGTCCTTCAATTAAATCTCAACAACTGCCGTCTCGCTCAAGACCTCCTGTGGCAGACAGCGGGCGAGCGCTGTGCAGATTTTGTTTGTGTCTGTGAGCCGTATGAGATCAGGAGCGAGTGGCATGTGAGTTTGGATTCTAAGTGCGCGATATGGTTCCGTCCTTATTCTTCCTCTGACTTTGATGTTGTTCATTGCTCCGGTCGTGGTGATGGGTTTGTAATCGTGGAGACTCGCGATTTTTGTATAGGGTCGTGCTATCTTTCCCCAAATCTTTCATTCTCCGCTCTCGATCATATTTTGACCGCTTTATCTTCTTGTGTTCTCCGCTCTTCCAAGCCTTTCATGCTCTGTGGCGATTTTAATGCTCGCTCTCCTGCATGGGGGTCCGAATCCCTAGATTCTCGCGGTCGTCTTCTCGAATTACTTTTTTCCGAGCTAGGTATTGATCCCGTCTGCAGTGACGGTGGCCCTTCATTTCACCGCGGTGCTTATTCCTCTAGGATAGATTTTGCTGTTGGTTCCCCCATCTTATTATCTCGTTTAACTCGCTCCACTGTGTTTCCAGATTTTACTGGTTCTGACCATTCCTCTTTGTTGCATAACTTTTCGTTCTCCTCCCCTGCTCTTGTTTCCCCTAGTTCTTCCTCATCTTCATCTGGTTTTCCCTGGTTGCCTCGTTCAGGTCCTATCGACCTTGACGTATGGTTTGAGTCTCTCTCGTCCTCCGCTTTTTGCACTCGCGATTTCTCCGATTCGTCTCAATTCTTCTCGCGAGCTGAGATTGACTCTGAATTGTCTTGTCTCCAATCTCTGTTTGACTCGTCGCGCCCTTCACTCCCCTTGCGCCGTAAGAGACGTCGCGATGCTCCTTGGTGGAGTGAAGAGCTGGCCCTTTTGCGTCGCGAGACCCGGAAAACGAGTGATCTGTATCGTTATACCCTTTCTCGCGATCCTGCACTCGCTTCCGAGCTTGCTCTTCCCGCCTATCTTATGCCTCGTCGTACCTTTCGCTCGCTCCTGTGCCGCCGAAAGAACGAATGCTTTCAGGAGATGGTAGGCGAAGTTCGTTCTGACGTATGGGGCCGGCCATATAAAACTATGATGAAAAAACTGCGCGGTGACCAGCCTCCAGTGTCTCTCAACCGCGAGGAATTTCGTCTTGCGATGCAGGCTCTCTTCGTCTGTGTGCCGGATCCCGCACAGGTTCGGAATTTCTCGCCTGCCAATTCCTCTTTTCTCCCCATTTCTGAGGAGCCTGCCTCTCTTGTTCCCAATCCTGGTGCATCCTCTACTCTTCCTGCTGTGTCTTCTGCGTCTTCTTCTTTCCCTCATGTCCCTTTTCCAGGGTTCTCAACTTCTCTGCCTGCTTTACCTCCTTCTTTGGTTCACAATTCTTTCATAAATCCCGATGGCTCCGATATTCCTATTTGTCCTCTTACCGTCGCCTACTCTCTAGCTCGCATCGGCCCCAAAAAGGTCCCGGGTCCTGATGGCATGACGGGTGAGGTCATACGTGTCATTGGTAGAGTAGCCCTCACTTGGCTAACCAAGCTTTTCAATTCTTGTTACTCGCAGGGCTATTTTCCTTCCGCTTGGAAGAGCGGTCGTTTGGTGTTGATTCCTAAGGCCAATAAGCCTTATACTTCTCTTGGCGATTTGCGCCCTCTCTGCATGTTGCCTCATTTAAGTAAGGGTTTCGAATATTGTATCCGGGAGCGTCTCTTGGAGGCGGTTCGCGTTTCCGGTGGTTTTTCCCCTCGTCAGTTCGGTTTTTTATCTGGCCGCTCCACCATGCAAGCGATGCGCGTGGTTACTTCTGAATGGGATCGCGCTCGCTCCTCCAACTGTCACTGCCTTCTTGTGACGTTGGACGTAAAGAATGCCTTCAACACCTTGAAATGGGAAAATATACTCCGCGCCGCAGTGTCACGGAATTTCCCACCTTCCCTCATTCGTGTTCTTGATAGTTATCTTTCGAATCGTCAGGTTGGAACCTTCCTTTTTGATGGCAGCTGGATTGAAGTACCAGTTTTCGCCGGTGTTCCCCAGGGCTCTGTTCTTGGTCCACTTTTATGGATTTTAGCTTAGGATGGCGTGTTGGATCTCGTTCTCCCGGGTGGTGCTATTACTGTCGGTTTTGCCGATGACATGGCTCTCGTGCTTGTTGCTCGTTCCTTGTCACGCCTTCGCTCCCTTGCTGAGGAGTGTCTCCGTATCCTAGATAACTGGTATACTTCTCAGGGCCTAGTCTTAGCCACCCACAAGACCGAGGCTATTCTTCTGACCGGTCGCCGTGTTCCTCAAGGATTATCCCTGGTTCATGGCTCGAATGCCATTCGTACCTCACCTTTCGTGTAGCCACCCACAAGACCGAGGCTATTCTTCTGACCGGTCGCCGTGTTCCTCAAGGATTATCCCTGGTTCATGGCTCGAATGCCATTCGTACCTCACCTTTCGTGCGTTATCTCGGCGTCCTTTTTGGCAACAGTCGCCTTTATCATCACCACATCGACAAGGTTTGTACCAAAGCCTTGGCTGTTGCAAAGCGTTTGTCTTGTCTTCTCCCTAACCTTCGCGGGTGTGATCGTATATTGTACTATCGTTTTGTCGAGCCAATTGTCCTCTACGCTGCTCCAGTTTGGTTTGAGGCTGTCGATTTTTCACGTATTCTGTCTCGTCTACATTCAACTCAGCGCGTCGGCCTCCTTCGAATTTGTCGCGCTTATCGTACCGTATCTATCTCAGTTTTGTGCGTCCTGTCCGGTTGTACCCCTTGGGAGTTTCTCGTTCACCTTCGTACTGCTTATTTTCATGTTGATCCCTTCGTTGATAGCTTGGATGTTCCCCGTGCCATTGATCTCCTCGCTCGCCGCGATTGGCAATCATCTTGGGTGACCGTACCTAACCTGCATTTCCCCTACCGGCCACCCTACGCCAGGGGTGGAAGAGATGCCGAAAGACGATTGCTCCACCCCCTGGACTGAGGAACCCCAACTCGGCGGTGGTTTCGGTCCAAAAAAAAAAAGTTTATCTCTACTTGACGCCCATAATAAGCGAGGACCTGATCTTGTATATTCGCACGGTGAAGGGGAGAACCATGAACCAGGATATAGCGAACACATATGTACTGCGTTCTGGTATACTTCATCGAAAAATCCAACGGAGGGGTAGGACCAAGTGCCTCCCAGTGGTGCCTTATGCTTTGAAATGGTCAGTCATCGACAATGTTCACGAGTCGATTGTCCATCTTGGATGGGAGAAAACATTGGAGAAAGTGTACGACTATTACTGGTTTGAGAGTATGTCGCGGTACGTCAAACGATTTGTAGAAAATTACATGGCATGTAAGATTGCAAAATCACACTCGGGTAAGATACAAGCAGAGATGCATCCTATACCTAAGGTAGCATCACCATGGCATACGATCCATATTGATGACACTGGAAAACTAAGTGGAAAGAACGACACGAGGAGTATGAGAAAGCAAAAAGCGACGAATCCGCTAACAAGTTCAAACCAAACGCTTTCTACTTACCCTTTCTATATATTTTCCAACCTAACTATTCTTCCAGCTTCCAAAATATTTTAGGTTAAAACTGTAAATAAATATATTTGTTTTTGATGACACATCGCGTTGGTAGTCAAGCGATATCTTTCCGTGGATTTCGTCTAGATTTCCGTTTATTGCGCGGATAATTTTAGTTAATTTTACCTCTGCAGGTGCAAAACAGGAGATACTGATAAATTTTTCTAGACTGTGGACAATTCGCGCACAACTACTGCTGATATCCAAATTTCGGTTCTATATTATTTTGCTATGGTTAATGCTGGATTCTCATAAAACAACTCTAGGTAAACAATACTGTTAATATCTGGTTAATCATTGATTCAAGAACTGCGGATTTAAAATGTGATAGCACAATAGTTATTAATATAAATCGAGTACCGTACAATTATATATATATATATAAAACTCGTTCAATGTGCACATAATTCCCAAGAACTTTTGAATGATAAAATGGATCAACTCTGGGCCCTTCAATATTTTGCTGCCGAAAGCTGAAATTATCCTTGTCCTTATTTTTGAACTAATATGGCGTAAAGAGCACCAACAAAGAGGCGCAAGTTGAAAATAACATACGATTGCGGAAAAATGAAAATATTTGTGCCATAAGAGTTCTTTATCACGATTAAAAGCAGCCGCCATTTCGGATGACCATTTCTAATATCTTTCTCTTTTTAACAAACCCAATAGTGGTACAATTATTAACAAACGGTACTAATTTGGTTAATACTACTAACTTAGTACAATAAATTTATTTAGCAAATTTACTGCACAAGTTAATTAATCCTCAAAAGTATAAACGATACTATATCCTTTGAAGTAAAAGATTATGTATACTCGAGAACTTTTTCGAGGCCTGCCCAATTCCTTCGCGAGATGAAACATGATTTCCATAATCATAAATTAACACTTATGTTAGTTGTAAGATCGAAGTTTATTAAATGTCAAAACAATTTCATAATGTGCATAAAATGTTCTGCAAACGAGGTAGAGACACATAGTAATTCGTTGATAATGTTATACTGACACAATTTATACAGTTTACGATTAATCGTATGTGAACCAAGTGAATGCTGGTCGCTCTTGATTCAATTATTATAACGACATGCTCGTAACCTTGGTATGAAGATAGTAAGTATTTTCAAGAATTAAACGTGAGAAGAATCTACCAGGAACTGATAACTAAATCGAGACTTAACATTAATACTACAATGAAAACCGTTTGGAAAGCAGCGTCGATGGGGTAGAAAACATTGCAATATGTTAGCATCCAGAGATACATTCTTCTTCATTTCCGGAACTAACGTCTTGATACAAGTCAGATGGTTGAATAATGTTTCCTATTTCTTCACCAACCTTTGGCAAGCACTGGATATGTACTTTCAACAAATAATCTTTGTCGACATGGAGCTTACTTTGATGCACTGAAATCTACCAATATAATTCTTCATTTACTAATATTATTGTAGATAGTATTTCATGTTGTTCATTAGTTATGTTATGTGCTCTGAACTTTTCACAAATATAATAATTTATCAGCTTATTTGAGTTCACCTCTCTCGTACAATTTACTAACTGACTTTGGTTGTTACTGAAAATATCACCAGTGGAATTTAACTTCAAATTTTCTGGTTTGTCCTTCCTTTACAAATACGAGATTTTTGCGACAATTTCTGATTTTAACATTCGCAGTACGTGGAAGAACGAGATTTGATATAGTAATCAACGATTCGTTGAGCGAATTTTGAACTTGTTTAGCTAATTATAAAATAGCTAATGGCAACAAAATTCGAATTGTTTGAGATGTTGAAGATATGAGAATTTCATATCGAGGTTATTGTGTTACTCCAAAACGTTGATAATATCTGATAGATATATAAATTTCCTGCTGTTGATGTATACAGCTTTGGAACAATTCAAACTGTTCGTGGACAGTTCGTTTTGCAGGGTTGAAGAAGCAAGTATATTTCCTCGGTGAACTGGAACTGGAGAGTTCATTCCTTTTGTACGAATACTAGTTACTCGTTTCTTGTTAACCACAGGACATATGATTACTCCTCATGGTTTTAATTTTCTTCTCTCATGGGAACATTCTGTATTTTCACTTTGGCAACATGGAAAAGAATAATCCTGATGATTAGTTTGATTTCACTAGTGATTTATTTGTTGTGAACTGATAATAAAGAAGTCTTGGTAGATGGCGATGCGTTGAACGGAGTGTTGCAGTTATTATTTTGTGAGGATAGTATGTCTTCATTCTTCATAGTTGAAATTTCGTGCCAGAGTAATTAATGCTTGTAACTGGTAATACTTCCACCGTTCTAGCAATCTGGTAGTCATGTATACGATATCCTCATCGTTCAGACATGTCGATAAATCTTCTACATTTCCAACCAAACGCATGCAATAAGCAATTTTTATTCATTCGGAATTATCATAGTATTAACTCGTCTCGAGGTTGCGTCGAGCTTTCCTTTACGCCTAAAGGCTTTAAAATTAGGTTAAAAAAATTTCTGGCAAAATCCTCTCACGTACTGATTCCGTCTAATACCAGATCCTATCATTCGTTAACTAATGTTTTCAAAGCCTTATCAATGATTATATGCATCTCGACCTCTGGATTTCGTTATCTTCATAAAACATTTAAATCCCCGAAGAAATTTTAATGGCAGGTCAGTAACCGTACAAAATTGAAATTAGACAACTTAAAATTATATAACTATTATAACTAGAAATGGTCGCTCCGAAAGAAAGCCCTCATTTTGCATATTTCGATAATGTCCACATCCGTTATTCGTTATTTCAACTATTCGCAAAATTCGAACAAGGAAACCGCAATCGCATGTGTTGGCCCAGTTTTGATATTTTTCACCTCGTCATACCATCTTACTATATGATTACGGCACATTTCGATAATTTTAATGCCGCGCGAAAAACAAGTGGCTATGTAAAAATAACCGGGCGAAGATTACATCAACGTATCGCAATGCTTTAAATGCATGAAATTCAATCATTTGGCGAAAAATTGCACAGCACCTTCCGCGTGTGGACATTGCAGTAGTGACCATGATTCATAAAAATGTAAGCAGAAGATAAGTGTATAAATCGTGATAGACGTGGTTTCATTGAAAACAAACATTCAGCACTGGATGCCAAAGTATGTCCTATATATTTAAAGAGAAGAAATTACCTAATGCGGAGCATCGATTACGAATCACCTTAATGGAGGGTTGTAAGAACGCAAGGCTTGGAGAGGGACTCAACAACCCGCTAGTGCCTTCCTAGACTCCCCTAAACTAAATACGAATTGAACCGGCTGCAGTACACAAACTTGCGATAGCGAAGTAAGCTGTCGAACGGTTTCTAACCGAGCCATTTTCACTAACAACGAGATACTAAAAAATGATGAGTCAAATAATGGCATCACCGTATTAGATCGTGTGTTTCTGTATCGGATGCGGGCAATGAACGGCGCGCTGAAGTGCAACGAAATTATTACTAGGACAAGCTTGCACATTGCACA